CTGACGCGCTTATACAAAAGAGATGCGTAATCAACATAAAAAACGTTGACGATAACATGTGCTGTGCGAGAGCTATAGTTACAGGAGTGTCATGGCATGAAGACAAACTTGATAATAAAACTAAATGCGATAATATAAGGAGGGGTCGTTATTTGCAGGACGATCTAGCCCGACAACTCCACGAATCATCTAATGTACCAATAGGCCTTGTGGCGTTGCAGAAATTAACCTTTTTCAAATTGCGCTACCCGAATACCAAATTGTCGTGTTTACGAACGACGTGATGAAACCGTTCATTTTCCAAGGCCCACCTAAAGATAAAAGAATATATCTTTTACTACACGAAAATCACTTTAATCTCGTTACTTCCATTAAAGCTTTTTTTAATAATTGTAATTTCTGTGAAGATTGCCTATCATGTTATGACAATAGAGATACAGTAAACACTCCTGTAAGTATACTTGCTCACTTTGTCACAGTTCAAGTTGTTCCCCCATTGTTTCGAAAGAAATTTCTCTTAACTGCACAGATTGTAATCAAAATTTTAAAAACCAACAATGTTTTCAAAACCATAAACTTAAACCTAAAAACAAACAAGGTTTTTCTAGCAGTGTCTGTGAGTCCGTAAAAATATGTACTGACTGTCATAGGAGAAAATATAAAGACCACGACTGCACAAAGTTCCTGTGTAAGGTCTGTTTAACAGAAGTAGACGTAAACCATAAATGTTTTATGAAAATAGAAACCCCATTAAATGAATCTAAAAGAAGTAAAGGAAAAGAAAAATCAAAGCAAAAAGAGAAAAAAAGTCGTACTAACGCTTCTAGGCTCTTTCATGAAATAGGTCAAGATGAAAAAATCAAGTATGTCGACTTTACTTCCCTTTATCCGTTTGCCAATAAATACGGCGAATATCCTATAGGTCACCCAGAAGTCCTACTTGGTAGTGAAAATTTTCAATTATTTTGGTCTTCAGTAAAATGTTCAATCTACCCCCCAAAAGAACTGTACCGTATCGTTCCATTCTACCGTATAGAGTAAACAATTAATTATTCTTTCCCCTTTGTCGTACTTGCGCCGAGGAATTATCCCAAACATCATGGCTACATTCTTCATTCGATCGACAACTTAACAGTACATGGGTTTCGATCGAGGTACAGAAAGCTGTTCAACTAGGGTACAAAATTTAATCGATCCAATGCGTTTGGAACTTGAAAGAAAGATCAAAGTATGACAGAGATGGAGGATCCGAGGGTTTGTTTTCAGGATATATAAATTGTTTTTCAAAACTGAAACAAGAGGCGTCGGGTGGCCTGATTGGTGTAAAACCGATGATGAAAGGGAGTCTTACATCCGAAATTACAGAGAAAATGAGGGTATTTCCAACATCAAGTACAACCCTGGGCTACGTTCTCTTTCAAAATTAATGTTGAATAGTTTCTGGGGGAAATTTGGTCAGAGGGAAAATCTTCAGAAAACTACAATTACTAGTGACCCAGCTACCCTCTTCTCAATGCTAACAGATCCGGCAATGATTGTAAATGACATAAATTTCTTTAGTGATAGTATTGCTGAAGTAAAACTTACCTTTATTGACGAACAAGTTCCCATTAATAAGAAGGGTAATGTAGTTCTAGCCGCTTTTACAACCGCGCATGCAAGACTTAAACTGTATGAAATCCTAGAAAAATTACAAAGAAAAGTGTTGTACTACGTTACAGACAGCATTATCTTTACAGTTAAACCTAATGAATGGGAACCACCGTTAGGAGAATACCTAGGAGAGTTAACGAACGAAATTGATTCAAAAGACGGGAACTTTATTACTCAGTTTATTTCAGGGGGCCTAAGAATTATGCCTACAAACTGGACTCAGCCAAGACGGTATGCAAGGTTAAGGGCCTTACACTCACCTATATGAATACCAAATTGGTAATTTTGATGAAATGAAAAAGTTGGTGTGCACCGTAGGGGATAGGCCAACCATTAAGGTTGACGATAAACAAATTACAAGGAATGTGAAAAGGAAAAAACTTTTTACCGTAGATAGAAAAAAAGATTATGGAATACAGTATATTATGATAAAAGAATCGTATTTCCAGATTTCGATACCCTTCCTTATGGTTACGTATGGGAATAGTTTGATTGTTGTCATTATAGGTTATTTAGGTACAGTTTGCAGTTTTCTCTTTTGAAAGTTTCGTCTAACGTAAAATGGACTTTAGGTTAACTGTATGAAATTATTTTTCTTACCTTCAAATTTTCATTTATGTCACAATGATTGAAATGATAAGAACTCCGTTTACGATGGTCGTCAGCGGCCCAATCAGTGTGGGAAAACCGAGTTTGTAAAAAAACTTATTAATTCCATCATTTAGCGAACGATTCCACGTTATTCATTGGTACTATGGTGAATATCAAAACCTATTTGAAGAGCTGAGTGAAAATGAAAATACCCACGCTCACGTTCGTCGAAGGGTTACCAAATGACATTACGTCTATGCTGAGTGATAAAATGCATTTGTTCATTATTGATGATCTCATGGCCGAAGGATCAAGAAACAATAGACTAGTTAATCTGTTTACAAAAGGTTGCCATCATAGCCAAATCAGCGTCATCTTTCTTACGCAGAACTTTTTCTACGGTTCTAAAGAAATGAGAACAATTACACTGAATGCTCACTATTTGGTCCTATTTAAAAATCCTAGAGACCGCTCTCAAATTATGCATCTAGCTGGACAAATGTTTCCAGGGAGGTCAAAGTTTATGAGAGAAGCTTTTGAAGACGCTACGAAAGAACCATACGGATACCTGTTTGTCTGTACGCCTGAAGATGTACGTTTGAGAACTGAAATATTTTCTGATACTCATCAGACTGTGTATGTGTATAAGTAGAAAAGCTTTTCAAATTTCTTGCCATTTAACCACTCGTCTACGTCATGTCTCAACGACTTAGAAAGAACGCTAATACGTTTCTTGGCGCCCAAGCAGAGAAACTCATAAACGTAAACTGGCTACAATCAAGAAACAACTTCGTGAACTAACAAACAAATCTCTTCCTACTACAACAAGAAAACGTATACTTGTTCAGAAAGGAAGATTTCTATCGCTAATTTTAAAACCTATTCTACAAACTTTGGGCGGAATACTGCTAAGTAAATAAGATATGGAGTCTACAAGAAAAATGATTTTGATGCCTAGCGAATTTGCTTCCACTATGTTACACTCTACGTGGTTTGAGAAAAACTTTGAAACCAAGACGAGCGACCTACTGTAGATAATGAGATAAAAGATATATTGAGTCGACCAATCAACGATTACCATAAGGTGCTTTTGTACAATCAAGTTTTACAAAGGTATAGCAAACGTAAAAAGACAGTTCGCAATCCATCACCCGTACACGTAACATCTACATCGAGTCAAGAAACTAAGAAAACATCGGAAGAAGAAACCGAAGAAGATGCCATTCTAAAATCATTTCCTAAAACTTTGGTTTCCAGATTTCGACCTATTCTTACATATATTTTGAACTATAAACATATTATAGATTTTAATCGTAACTCTGGGGAGGTTATCTTAAACGGACAAACCATTAAGGGTTCGAATCTTATAGACCTTTTGAGGGATTTGATTCAAGAAAGAAAAAGTTTCCAGCCTATCGGTTGGTATCAATTCCTAAAGATCTTGGCTAGCATTAATATCCCCGAAACCTTTGTAGGTAATGCAGCCCATCGAAGAATTTTAAGGGAAATTAAAACGGGCGGTTCTCCTCATCATTCTTCACCAAAGAAGGTTGTCAAGCCATTCGATTGGATAAAGTATTAATTTATATTTGAGTGCTAACGATTCTATTGTTTTGATTTCGATATTAAAAGTTTGATGTGAATTTTATTTGTGTTCTCTGCGTATTATTTATCTGTGTTTTGTTTTTAATTGTGAGTCAAGAATGCATGAAATGAGAGAGAGAGAGATTTTTTTTTTTTTTTTGGTGACAATCGTTTTATTTGACAATCATCTTTTATTTTTTTTTTCTACTTCATTCAAAGGTGTACATATATACTAAAAATGTTCATAACTATAAAATACATTTTTTTTTTTTCACTTCAACCTTATACTACGGGATATTTGATTAACAATGTACTCCATATCATAGACGGGTAGGTTAACGTTATATCTAATTTCTATAAAATCATTAACAAAATCATCGTTGGATACTCTATTACGGGAAAACATGGATGTAGCAACACCCCTACATTTATGTCTCAGATAGGATATACAATACTGACCGCAAACCGTAGACAATAGAGATTGCAGCGCTTTAGAATTAAATGTCCAACGCTGTGCATTGTCATCTAAAAAAATTAACAAAATCATCGCAATATTCACTAGGTTGTTTTCCAAACGAATAAAAAAACTCGCCTTTTTGTTTACTTTTAAAAAAGAACGCCACCCAGTGCGTCCCGGGTTGACTACTATTATCTACATTAGCTATGAAAGCTGCTGGATAGCTCTTTACTTTATATGGTAATTGATCAGAGGGATAAACCCCGTAAAAATATCTCAAAGTTAATGGATCATCTTTAACTAATTTTAAAATCTGTTTTGTATCCATTTCTTAATGATCTATTAACACGTTTAAAATCTGTTTTGTATCCATTTCTTAATGATCTATTAACACGTTTCTTGATTTGTCAATTTCTATAATATTCTCAAATTCAGCATAAACTATTACATTCACAATATGTGGTGACGGTTGGGCAAATTTTATTTCTAATCTAAGATTTCCTTGACGGACGAGGTTAAAGTGAGCCTTGTTGGATGAGAGGTCTGGGGATAGGTCAAAAGCAAATAACGTGTAACCGTTAGCGTAATCTTCTCTGTTAATGAGGTGTCCTTTGTTCTCGAAAAGATCGTTTCCAACTGTTAACTTTTCCAATGATACGTTTTCCTGCCTGAGTTAATCTTCTTTTGGCCGCAGTTTTGATGTTTCTTCCGTGTATTGCATCCTCCATTTTTTATGCTCCAGTTAGAATAGCCTGTTTTCCGAGAGCTTTTGCTCCCTTCTTCAATAACGGTACAGCTTGCTTAAAAAGACCGGCGAGAACGCCCCCTAGTCCAAATTCTCTTTGCGTTACAGACCCACTGAAAACCGGCATAGAGTCGGCTGTCCCTCCCACCTGACGTAAATAATAATCATCATACACAGAATGCATTATACAAGATAAGAAGATCGTATCTGTCTAAAGTGAAGCTTAACCAAAACCTTTCCGCGTTGAAATGACACTTTTTCACCCGTATCACTTCTTATATCTATAGTTACTGTATCATATTCCTTCTTTACCAGACGCTTATATTGGGGAATGAAAAAGTACTGTGAGACTGCCTCTTTCATCTGTTTTTCTTTGGTTTGAAGAACTTTTAACAACGGTACGCTAGAATCACCTACCATTTGAGGTTCTGATATATCAGTGTACACGTATAAGGAAGGGACTCTGTGGTGCACGTTCATTGGTCCATCACCGAAAACGTCGCTATCTGCTTGTATGGTAGTTGGCTTATGGAACCCAAACAAAACCCACGATTCACCCGACAACTTGACCGATGAATTTTCATCCGTGATTATGCGTATTTTTCCGGTAACGGAGCTATAGTTTATAATAACCTAGAAGATTGCATTGAATTCATCCAATTTTTTTGCAAAGGCATCTTCAATTTTAGACGCAGAGTAGAAACCAGGTACTATAGAAATTGTGAAAGAATCGGTATCCGATCTAACAAAGGTATTAATTAACTGTATAGTATTGTTTGTTT